CAACAATGTTATATTGCCGAGCCTTGGTCGTATTAGGGGTAACAAATGCTTGGTGCCATAGTTAATTGGTTTATTTCGCATATACGGCTTGAAATTACCTATTCCTCTGAATGCATCCAATTCCTGTAGTGTAGTTTGTTTCCCGAGCTGTGACAAATTTGCCGCATATGTTGCGAACAGGTGCTATCTAGTCAGTGGCTATTTGCTGGGCCTTCGTATTGGAATCACGAAATTGTACTGACTCATCGCTAGTAAGCTAATTGCCTTATCAAAGCCGTCTTCCGCCCATATACTTGCAGTACTTTCTTCGAGTGCTTTGTGTTACCCAAGAAGCACAGAATGCCTATGCGTGCTGAAACTTCGAGTAAACTAGTCCGATGCACAAATCTAGTGTTGCTTGTGTAACTACTTTTCGCATTTCATTTTTTCTGACTGATGCATGTCACAATTTCTGCTGTGCATCGTCAAAAAATCGAGCAAATGCCTTCATAGGTGCGTCTGCTTGACACTCATTCCCTTTTCGGTCCTGGTTTCTGTTTGGTAGTATTTCGCAACGGATATTTTCCCAACAGATTTTGGCTCCTGTGATCACACATACCCGTTCATTCCACGAACATCATCATCTTCCGTTTGTGATTCATTAACACTTCCTTCACTGATGGCGTCTGATCCCTCATTACTGGATTCATCGTCAGTTTCGTCCCAGCCGTCGTCATTTTCACTATCAGCGTCACTTAGCTCACCTAAAGACTGTAGAACAACATCGGGGGAATTCTCCGTCTGCAGTCTGAAGAGGGCGGGACCGCATCGTACCAGAGCAGGGTTAAAATAGAGAAGTATATAAACGCTATCAGCTCGCGGCATAATTTATTAAGTGAGAAGCAAATAGGTATGGAGTAACGAGGTTTTTATTTGCTAAACTGTGACGTTCCCACCTACTTAGTACGTAGTCATAGAGTTTGCGGCGTATGACGATTTAAGTCAGATGATGCGCTGTTATTCGGATCCCAGTTAGTTATGCATATTGCATGTTAAAAGTTAGCATCACGAGCGAGTCGAACTATAGACAAATGGGTAACTATTAACGTTCAAACGCGGTTCGCCGTGAGATGGAGAAGACGATCGGAGATTACGGCAACTGCATCCATTGAAAAAAACGCTTCAATACGGAAGTTATTGTTACAGCATTTGTCAAGACGCTCACATAGTAGTCGAGGTGTGCCGAAAAGAAGTAAAAGGTGAAGCACGGAAGAATAGTCTCGAGGAAAGAGCACTGGAACACGGTGCTGTTGGGTAGCTGGACGCGGCTATATGTGTGGGCTGGGATATCACCGAATTGACTAGACGCGTGTAGGAGAGGGGTCCCGATTCCGCGGGTAGAGACTCTAAGTCAGACGCTTGAAGCATAACGCAGCGGATTTTCACTTTATTGACAAAAATGAGACTATGCATCATTGAACTGAGCGGACCAGAAGATTGCTGATTGCGGGTACATCCAATGCACCATGAAGCAAAAAGTATGCCTACCTAATTGGTCTGAATAATGGACGAACTCTGAAGCGTATACTGAGGTGATGCTTGCCTAGTAGTGTCAAGGCTGATGTGGAGTGTTGGTTAGGTGCAAAGGCTGCTAAAACGAAAATGCTTAGTGCAATGGGTGACAACCAAATGCTATTCCGACACAAGAAAACGAAGGCTAAGTAAGGTGTATGATTGAAACAAATGTAGAGGAAAATGGAACTTGGCCTGACTGCACATTATCGGGAGCAGCTCATAAGGCCTGATGTGTCAACACATCGTGTCCTGAAGTGTGTGAATTTAATTGGAACGTCGGTATTTCACCTTTTGCATTCAAAAGTAACTGGTGAGCCAGCTTTGCGCGGGTAAAGAAATATGTCGGAACGCGGATCCTTCAAACAGCCCTACGATAATCATATTGCTGAACAGTATGGGTGCTTATAGACATGCAGAATATATTCACCACTCCATTGTCGTTGTTTTCCGTTGGCCAGTTCCAATGTCATTCATTTGCCGTATGTTAGAATCCTATGGTATTTATGCATTGTCCGTTTCCTGCTGACCAGTCCCATCAGCGCCAGCGGTGTATGAGGCCAAGCTGAGTGTGGTTTATGCTGGACCAAATCAATTCAATCATGTCCACTTGTTCCGTGAAAGTGTAGTGGGTCGGGTCGGGCGGGCGGCGTTCGATCGAATCTGTCCGCTGGTTCCACGTCCGTCTCGCTTGCCCAAAATATTGTTTACCACCACACGATCCTTGCGTTGTCGATGAAAGGCTGTGGTGGTTCCCAGGTTGCTCACAAGTTACTTTGTCCAACAATATGAAGCACCAAACGTCGTTTTAATATTTTACCTGCGTAAACCAACGAGGAATTATCCTTATCGTAGCCATGGAGTAGCTGTACGCAGGCGGTATTCTATTGCGGCCCAATGATTCCCTGGATAATGAAAGCAAGGATAGCCGCTTTGACAAAGGATGTATTTATTGATCATATAAGCACCATCACCAAATGTTAGAGCAGCTTCGAGTGATTCAGTTGCGAAGGCATGCAGCACTGCTTATCTTGTATGGTTTCGAGTGGAACTTCTTTCTATTCTGAAACCTCTTCGCAAACATCGACGGCAGCCCGTCTTCTGAGAATTTGAAAGTGTAGTAAGACAACCTGAAGTCTTCTTTTGTCTTCAGCCATGTGACCCTGACGAGCTTTGATGATTCTAACCATTTATTTTGGTGCCCAATTGAGCTTGGATGCAAACACATCTAGGGAGCCTGATGCAGAGCGCCGCATGTTTCGGTTGTGTCAGACTGGGCCAATGGGCCAGTTGTTCGCATCATTGAACAGCCACTGAAAGTTGTCTAGTGGTTTGCGTGGGCTGCTAGCTGGTGCGAGCATGGGCGGTCCATCGAAACCACAAATATGTGTGGCTTCGGAGTGATATTACTCATTAGAAGTGTGGTGTGCAACGGAACAGTGTGCCCAGTGCCAGTATCAAGGCAATGGCCTTTTGCCGTTGAGGACACTAGGAGAATGATCATAGATGGGTCCCAGTGGATGCGTAGCAACACTCATCTTTGGCGAGAGCAACGAGTGGGTAATGCTGGGGAACGTCAGCTGATGTTTCACAAATCCATTTCCGGTATTACAGTTGAACGTTTCTGCACTCGAAACATCTGCGTTGGTTGGGTTAATATCCCCGAGTATCTGTTGAGCGCATACTTCGATGCACATTTGATGTGGTCGTCCTTAGCCTGATTAGACGGTTGGCTATCGATCGGAAACTAGAGGTCGCTGGCCTCCCAAAAGAGAAGCGACCGGTTTCGGACGAGCAGAGAGGAAACGGAGCTGTGTTGGCTAGTCACACCGTCCGTTATAAAGGTCAAATCGAACTTTCAGGAACGGTATATAAAACTCACGTGAAACTGGCTAGAAGGGTCAACTTATAACTAATCAAGTACTACCGCTCTTGTGTTAATTGGCCGGTTCATGAAGTTGCTTATATGCTCGTCCAACCCATGCGGCTTATCGACCATGCTCTGGTGCTGTATCGGCGCCTCGGATACTCGACTAGAGATTTCCTTCCTAACAACAATGGTTCTCGATTGTAGGTGAGGCCATGAAGCAGTGAGCTGATATTTTGGCAGCGCAATGAGGAAACCGATCGAAAGGCAATATGGCTGGTGTGTGTACAAGGAATCAACGACATCTCATGGGTTGAAGATTCCTTCTGAGGTGGTTAAGTGCACCTAATCAGACACCCTAAATTTTAACGAAATCCTCATAACGTACCACCCTGCAAATTTTAGTTTGTTTGTGTACACTTCGCCCACTATTTCCTCGGGTATAATGCCGTTATTATTATTATTATTATTATTATTATTATTATTATTACGAAGTGCAGCGGGACAATTACAGTAATCGCGCTGCAGCTGGTTAAGACGATAACAACAGAACAACCTTAATGAGAGTGGTACTGACAGGGGATATGGAGAATCTGAAACGCAGCCTAATGAGATTATCCCATAAAATCGACCAGCCTGATATTGTAACATGGGGTGGGAAAAGGAGGCGACATTAAGAACAAGGAAGACGTGAGTTCATAGCTCTGACTATAGTGAGACAAGTTATTAGGGCCGGATGAAAGCTTCAGCCCAGAGTATTGGTGTAAGGGGTGGTGGAAAGGTCTAACCAGAGAAAGCAGATGGCGCTGATAACAAGTAAGCTCACAAGATTTAGGAAATTACCAGGTAAATTCATTATTCACTTGATGTAATCGGAGTTTCGCGTCTTCCCAAAGATTTACGCTTGCTCAACCCCTGCATGAACTTTGTTCGTTACCAACATTGTCTAGTTGGCGTTTCACTACCACCATTTCATCTAGGTCCGAACTCCACCTCGTTCTTGTCAGCGGAATCCCCACATGCTTGAAGTGCGTTCTGCCACGCCTGTCTTCTTATCGTCTCTCGGTGCACCCACATGCATCCATTCACGATTCATTTCCAAGGACCTTGACATCACCCATTCACTCGTGTGATGTGCTCCTGGCAAGCGATGCAATCTCGCATTGATCCGAGTAGAGCTTCATTTGTCGGTGACCATATATCCTTATAAGTCTGCTTGCACGACGTGTTTGTATATCTTTGCATGTTTCCCTATGCATGTGCGTGATCATTTGTTGTATTTTAGTTCACTTGTCGGCCTGGGGAATAGACCCAAAAATTCTTTTGTATTGAAGGATCTATGGGTGCACTTGAGCTTGGGAATCGTTGAGGTATTGACTGCTTTTCTATGATTACGTTGTTCAATAGCACCGTTATCTCGGTTTCGGTATTGGTTCTTGTTGATTTCCCGGACAGACAAGCGTTGCTTTAACTCCCAAGCGTTTTCGATGTTTACATCTGGTTAAAATAGTCAGTTATGAAAACACCGGTATGTGTAGTGGCTATTAACACACAGTGAACAAATTAAAAAAGAACAATTTACCTTTTTGGGGTCTCGAAACTCCGGATAAAGAAAACAGCGACGACACATTGACAAGACGGAGCACGGTTCGTACGGATTCGCGGTTTCGTATAGTCTTAAGAAAAATGGGATGGAGTAGTTATTAGCAGCGGATCCCAGCGGTTGTGCGCATAAGATGCGGAAGCGCTCATTAGCCGTTGCTCTCACAACCATCAACGTCAGAAACACACTGATAATTGCATCGGTGCGATGAGACCAATATGAGCATAATAATGCCGGCAAACGTTAGAAGAGAAGAGCGAGTACTAAGAGATCCATAACAAAACCAAAACGCTTGTGCTGAGGAAGGAACAAACAGTTTATTGTTAAGGAAAAAAAGAAAATTATAAAGGTGTAACTAAGCACAGAAGTCCGCAGAATGTCCCAAAAACAGCTGCTTTATTGACACCCTGGTAACTGAACACAAGCTGATTTACCGAACTGAACCAACAACTTTCTATTTCAAAGGCCATTAGTGGTCAGAGTTCGGAGCTCTTTATCGGACCCCATACAAGTCGAGTGTGATGTGCCGCAAGGCTCGGTTCTAGGTCCACGTTTGTTTCTGGTGTTTATTAATGACCTTGCACAGGGAATCGCTTCAAACTTCCTAATGTTTGCCGATGATATCAAGATCTGGCGCAGGATCCAGGCGAACGCCGACCAACATGTGCTCCAAAGTGACTTAGATACAGTGTATCAATGGTCGATCCAAAACTTATTGCATTTCAACGTCAGTAAATGCAAGGTGCTTTCCATCCGACATCAAAGCAGCTACTCATACCGACTCGGAACGGATGTACTGCAACAATCAACTCTCGAACGTGACTTGGGTGTCCTGGTTCAAGATGACTTGGGTTGCTCCAGGCAATCGGAAAAGGCCTCAAAGACCGGGAATCAACACGTTGGGCTGTTGAGGCGGGCGTTTGGACAAATAAACAGCTCCATATTTCGACAAATGCTCAGTGCGTATGTTCGCCCCCATGTCGAATACGCAATTCAAGCCTGGCATCCATGGCTGAAACACGACCTTAATGCACTGGAGCAGCCACAACGCCGGACATCTGAGAATGTAACTGGAATGCGCAATCTGTCCTACCAGGAGAGGCTGCCACGACTAGGATTGTTCAGTGGAAGCTATCGCAGGCTACGAGGCGACCTGATTATGACATACTTGATTCTGCAAGACCCACATCATGTGTGCCGCCCTTTACTGCAACTCAGCAGCAATACAAACCTGAGGGGCCACTCATTAAAACTCGCAGAACAATACAGTCGTCTGGAGTGCCGCAGAAATTTCTTTCCCATCCGTGTCTGTCACCCGTGGAATGCTCTCCCAGAATCGGTCGTCTCTGCACCGACACTAACAATATTTAAAAGACGGTTGGACGATGCACTCATCCACTTACACTTTGTTACTTAACACTATGTCTACGTCCTACACCTGGAGTTTACCCTGGAATTATTTGTTGTTAACCGTGGGTGTTGTGAATCTAAGTGGATCGCAGGACTGCAGCGAAGCAAACGATAAGTCCTTATTTTCGTATTTAAAGTGTTAACTATTTTACTATCCTTTTCATCATAATTATTATGTTGATATGCCCACCAACTATCCAACGGGGCTTGTAAAGCAACGCTTCTTAACCCGTATAAATTCATTGTTCATTGACAGTGATGGTGAGTTCGTTCAGTGTAACAGCACGAGTGACAGATAGGTTGGGGATCTAGTGCAACAGAGAACAAGCCGGCGCATCCAAGCTCACGAATAGGCACTATGATATCACATCACGTATGCAGTGGTAGTTGGGCTTAACGAACTTCAGAAGCATGTGTTTCGCAGGAAGGATATGAAATATCTGCGGACTGTAGGCATGCATTCGCAAAGCGAACACAAAACAATAAAATTGACTGCAACTGTAATTCCGTTCGCTTCGAATGTGCAAGTTGGTCCGGGAGAGAGGGCAACAAAATGTATGAACAGATAAACAGTCGATATCAGGATGAGGAGAGAAGAAAGATCAATTTAAGAGAGATAGCTGGAAGAAAGATTATGTAGGCGACCTGAGTTAAGGCAAGTCGACTAACACACGGATCACAGGACACAAACCGAACTGAGCTGAACAGTTGACGAGAAGGGACATTCGAGCATGTGTACCTCGCCGAAGAGTTAGGATAATGAGGTAGGCATGCGAGCATGACCAGAACTAAGGTAAATGCCAAGAAGCTGTCACAGAGTTCCTCTTGAACATGGTGATAAAAATAATCATAAGTAACTAACCTCTTTACTGCAGCTGATATCCTGTCAGATGATCAAACCTTGATTATGTTATATGACACAGCCATCCTTAGATTGGACCCAGTGGCTATGAAAGTGCGACTGAGCAGGCTGATGCGTGAGATTGTAAGCTTCGGCATGTAATTTGTAGTTTCAAGGTGCAAAGCACTGTTAAAAGAGGTGGTTTAATACGCCACGGGCTATTGTTATCAGCGGATACTCACAAGAAATAGTGGATCGGTTCACTTACCTTGGTAGCTGTGCCATAGGTGGTGGTGACATCACTGAGGAGTTAGTTCACGTACCAGCAAAGCCCATATAGATTTTACAAAGCTTTAATAATCTATGCAAACAGCGGGATATCAACCTGACAGTCTAAGATGGGCTGTAAAATGTTGCGATAAGGCCCGTGTAGCTGTACGGAGAGGAACGGTTGCCACATGGCACAGAATACACTAAGAGATTTGAGACCGCTGATCACCAGTGGTTGCGGAGTGTTGCTCACGTCTGGTGGGGGAGGGGCACCTGATGAGTGTTTATGAGATCTACCAACTGGTACCTAGAAAGAACCCCGTTGCTACCCACTGGTGATTGATAAGCCGAAGCGTTCACGTTCCCTAGGCCATGTTCTCTGCTTTGCTCGGTGAGTGTTATATGATGTCACAACACCTGGCTGAAGGAAACCGCCAGGTGGTCAATCGCTGAAACGGCCTAAAGATGTGAAAGGACTGAGCGGAAAACGATCAGGCCGTACACGTGGCCTAGGAGCAAGCCACATAAGTGGTTTAAAACTGTTTGACAGAGTGCAGCCGCAGAGTCAGTAGCGCACCTGAATTCGGCTTCTTGAACATAGTAGTCAACGTTTCATCATTCATTCAGATTTTCCAATTTTCCTTCTGTTTGCGTTCCAGCTCATTTGACACACCACTTATAATTATGAGTATACTGCAGACTCGGGTTATGTGAACTGAATCCACTAAACTTCATTGCTCTGAACATGGCTGTGTAACGGAAGTGAATCAAACTCCGGCACTATGATCGATCGGGCATGAAGTAAGCACTTATCAACACAATAATCCTGATGAGAAATGTAATCATGCAACATGCACAGGGCTGTATCGTGAACAACACGGAAGGCGATCAAAAAATGATCAGTGGGCGATTTGAACCAGGACCGCGCAACAACAAATCAAGTAAACAAGCACAGAATATTAAAGAGCGCTTCAACAATCCTACAGGAAACTCACTGGGCGTATATTTTCCGATTGGGAAGTTGCCACGAATCCGCATAAGGTCAACAAACCAAGTGCATTCAGTCCGATAGCACTCATGCCCAGTGCACCCAGAACGGTGACGTTCTTAAACGTGTCTACCAGCCATCTTATGCCGAGAGCTGACAGAAGTGGACCGACAGTGAAACCAAGACTGAAGGCCAAGCCGATGATGGCCATTCCACGTGTGCGCAGCTCTACACTGCTTTGATCGCCAACCAGAGCTGTCAGCACAGCCACGTTGGCACGAGCTGTGCCACACAATACTCGACTGATGAGGAACCATGTGAAGATGTGTCCGAGTAGGTAGCTGAGCAGATATGACAAAATGCTCAGAAGCTGGGAAATAAGAATAAGAGGAAATACTGTAATATTTAAGTGACTCGTCAGAGGTAGGTGGTTGAAGAGACCAACAAAGCATTTGCCATCGCCTGGTTTCCACGGGTGTGCGATGACAGGTTGATATTGACAGCGATGGAGGCTAGTAACCATACACAATTCTGTTTGTTACCTAATGTGTGGGACGGATAGGGAACAAGTACTGTGATCACTCACAGGCAAATACATACATACATACATATACATACATATGTGGCGGGAGAGCCTATGGTGCGCTGAGGCTGGTGGTGGCTAGATCCTGACAGATGGTCTACCCACTGCTGCTACCGCTGCGTCATAGTCTCATGTCCTGGGCACCTCCACGTGGAGACCGCTGGGTGGGAGTTGGGTTTCGCCCTTCTCCCTGCTAAGATCCAGGACACCAATCCGCATGAGTCGGCTAACTGACCATGTGCTAGACTCGCTGCTTTTCGGGTGTTCATTTAATCGAAGGCTTTGACTGAGGACCCGAGTCGTTCTCCTGTCAGTATTGGGCGCCCTGGCAGTATCCTAGTTCAACCTCTCCGGAGGTTAGGAAGTGGTCGATGGCCCACTTCCCGTAAAACCTAGCCATGGTTTACGGGTTATAATCTCACAGCTCGATTGGCGTAGAGCACGAGGGCCACGCATTGTCTCTGACGGTGGGAGGACACCTCCGGGTGTTCAATGGTTTGCTACTGCCCGCCTCAAGCCAGGCAGCCCCTGGTCAAATTGGTGCAAACCCGCCAAAAACCCACATACATATACATACATAAAATCTCCAAATTAAAAGTCCTATCACAATGATTATCTACAAGGACTCTTGACATGATATAGTCACCATCAGGATTGACAAATGCAAGCCTATCACAAGAAGGAAGCGATATACTAGTTGTTGTAAAGTGCACTGGGTGAAGAAAATGACAACGAAAGAAGGCAAACACTGATAAGTATCATGTTCCCTCTCAGTCCAAATAAGTGCATCAACCGTGCTCCGTGCTCAGAATTAAAGTAAACCGAGGTGCCATGCAAAAGCTATATACGAGTCAAACACATGGTTGGCGGCATCCGATTTCGGATTTGCCTGTCACTGTGGCCAGCCATAGGATGCCTGCGCCTACAGAGGGACCATGGGTAGCTTGCGCTGCACCACCCACAGCTCCATCTACCCACACCATATCCAGTGTAAACCCGAAGAAATAAGACCGGGAGGCATGTGGATGGAAGCCACGTTTCATCAACGGAACTGTCCAACACTCCTTCTAAGGTAAACACAGACACGCTGTATTTGGGAATCAAGCGCACACAAGTCGGTGGCTGGACTGTAGTCCGCTCCACACTGAGTGCATGGAACCATTCTTTGAACCTAGCACGGCCACAAGGACCGTGCACCCCGTCCCCTCCAGCAACGACCAACTGTCTCCTGGAGCCAGGTGGACGAGGTAGTGGGTAATAGACAGGTAGACACCTTGTCAACATGCACATCAAGCGCAGCCACACCTGGGATGTCAAACAACAGCCAATCATTCGAAATGCCGATATCGAATAAAGTAAACGCATATGACGACATAGATACTCGCTAAATGAGCATATGGAAGAAAGTGGTTAAATGTAAATACGCGATAAGTACAAAATGTCCGAAAGTTATTTAAAACATATCACGCGAGAAAATTACGCAAGTTTACCACAATTTGCATGAGTGACGTGTGTAAGTTGGGGGAAGGTTATCAAGTACGCAGAACAAACCAAATAAAATGTAATGAATTTTATCCACATTAAAAAGACCTAGTTTAAGTGTAAGTTGGTTTTGCCCAACTGCGGTGAAGAAGCATCATGAATGCGACATCAGTCTCAGCATATATATATTGTTTTGATTTATATATTCAGCACTTGACCAGTATACAACTGGCAAAGTACCATGGATGAATAAAATGATAACATAGAGGAAAAAAGCAGTCAAAAAAGGAAAGTCACACAGCACTTTCGCCACCGAGTGAGGTTCTGGGTCATACTGGATGGCGTTTCCAAGAAGGTATCATTAGGGTCCTTGGGTCTCCACTCGGGAATCAGAAACGCCCAACTGCGCCGTCAGTACCTTAATACCGCGAGCCCAAGTTTCGCGTTGACCACCTCCCTGATTCCAATCAACATCAGTACGCACAGAGAGCGAGGCGGGGCAACCGGTGAGCAGGCATATGAAGCCCATGCCTAAGTCATCGAAATTTGCGCATGGAAATGAATCAACTCTGTGGTCGGCAAAATTAGTGTGAATTAAAAATCCAACGGCGCAAGCCCGAAATCACTATTATGATACTGCCAACGTACAACAGCGATGATTCGAGGCAGCGTTGATAGAAACGATATCTGGACATCGCTTGCGCGAATGGGCTAGGTCTCACAGCCTTACAGGAGCATTGTCCGTACTGCAGAGTTGCAGGGTCGCCTTTCCAGTGAAGAGTTGAGGAAACACGGGCAACATAACTAACAGACGTTGACAAAGGCAATTCTCGCTTTGGGGATAAGCACTGAGTTCTTATCCATTAAGCTGGCCACGCTAATACAGCTTTCAAAATAAACAAACTTGTCGGTTACTACGAATTAAGAACAGAGAAGGCCTGAGTGAAGGAGCAGTGTCTAACCAGTTATATTTTGAAGCAGCCAAATTAAATTCCGAAGTGTGGCAGACAAATCCAGCCTGCGAAGAGGAGCAGGATTGCGTATGGCTACCGCATTCTAGCATGCGGCCTGAGGGCGAATAACAGATTGCCTAGAGGATTCTGATAAAGTTTTCGGGTACTCCCATTATCAGTAAGCAGCTTAGTTTGGCGATGGAACTAATTAAAATACTCATGACCAAAACTACTGGGTGATTTGGAAAATGCATCCGAAACTAGGAGCGGCTGCACTCACCTGCTGACGTTCCACGGCACGCTGAATTGCCCACTGTCCAATGGCGCAAATTGCTTTGTCGAACGTGTCAGCTGGGGTGGGATGGGACACACTGGCGGGACCTGTGTATCTACGATCGCAGGGCAGACCAAGGGAATCGAGGCGGTTCGACTGTGAAAAGTAAGTGTTAGCCCAACACCACAGCCGCACTGGACGGTTGGTAAATGACTCTCAAACAGGTGAAAAAGTCAGTCGAAGGGATCCCTGCGAGGTGGTTAGTGGCTCGCTGTTTTAGCAATAGAGCAGGAGCTTACACCCGTGTCGTCGATGTGTCCGCAACAGCAGTCACGGAATGTGCCGGTGCATCAGCGCGTGATCATTGTGGAGCTGTATGATGAGTTTGGGTTCAACGCGCAGAAACCGCAAGGTGCTACAACACTGTGCACCGCGTTACGCGTTCCATTAATGAGCGGTAGGTGCGTCGAATGGTGAAGAAATTTGCAGAAACTGGCAGCGTTTGCAACATCAAACAAACCGAATGGCCCCGCACTGTCACGGATGAAGTATCAGCTTGCGCGGTTGTGCAAAACGTATGCAGTGAAAGCCATCTCAGCATTCGGCAACGCGCACAACATTGTGAAACCACACGGTATGCTGCGCAGCGGATATTGAAGGAAAAAAATTCCGACGGTACAGTGCACAGCAGGTGCAAGTGTTGAACACGTGCGACTCACAGAAGCGACTGGAATTCGCCAGTTGGTTTTTAAACAGCTTGAACGTACATTCGATTGTGTTCACCGATGAGGCATATGGTTTTCCGTCTGCATGGCGAAGATACGCAGAATATTTGGGCAAGCACTAACCCACGCTTCACGTGTGCAACCTAGTGCGAAGCTCATGGCCTGGGATAGGTTGACGGATCGAAAAATCAATGGGCCCTTCTTCTTTTCCAGGAATGTGTCCGGTAGGTTGTTGTTGTTTAACAGTACTAAGGTCTGACATTTCTTAGCATCCTCGTACATGGAAATGCTGCAGACCAGCGTCATTTCGCAGCTGCAGTCCGAAGGGTTACTGAATAACGTTTGGTGACAGCAAGATATCGCACCTGCGCATTAGGAGAAAACGGATTGTGCCTATCTGAACGAGATTTTCGGTGGACGTTGGATCGTTCGCCGATGACCGATAGAGTGGTCTGCGCGGTCACTGGATCTGATTCCCATGGATATTTTCCTATGGGGAGATTTGAAGCGTAGAGTTTATGAAACAAAACCCAACAGCCTGGATGAGCTGAGAAAACATTGTGAACGAATGTAGCCAGGTTTCCTTGGAGACATTGCAGAAATTGGCTGCCAACACCATCAGGCGAATGCTGCTCTGCAGCCAAAACGATGGAGGGCACTTCGAACACCTAATTCGTTGATATTTACTGACATTTTACACATTACATGTAAATATAAGTAATGAAATAAATAAATGTAAATTCTTGATTGCACATGACAAATACCATGGAAGGCACGATCAATTTGTACAACAAGCAATTGTCGGACTGTGAGGGCAATAGTTGCATTCATGACTAAATTGGTGTGCTGTCTAATAGTGCACTAGTGCGTCGCGGCAGACGGAAATCTAAGAGTATTGTCAAATCAAGGATTCCCTTTTATGCACCCGTGAAGGGTGAATTTTCAGCTGTAACACACACGCAATGGAAACGGTAAAACGAACAAGACTGCAAACTTAGAAAGTGCTCCTGGCAGTATAATTCCTCTTAGCAGCGAAAGCAGCCTAGTAAAAGCTTCCGGGTTTGCTAGAAGCCAGTCATGAGGCTAAAACAGCTTTTGTCGCGATTGTCTTTTGCCATGTATTGCGATAGCAACCGGCATTCATCGAACGGCCATTGCATAGGGCCAGGCTGTTCTTCTCAAATGCAAGAACAGCGAGCCACTGACCACCTCGCAGGGATCCCTTCAACTGGCTTCTTCATCTGTGTAAAAGCCGTCTACCAATCGATCGAAGCATGACACGTCCAGTGCGGCTTCGGTGTTCGACTAACACTTACATTTCACAGCAGAACGGCCTCGGTTAATTTGGTCTGATACA